TGTATGAAAATGTATGGGAGACCGTAAGAATCATGCAAATAAAATTATTTCGGCTGTACATTTCCATTTTGGCAAATTCATATCGGAAACTATTTGTATTTCTTATTTCGAACCAAGCAAAAAGTTATGAATATTTGACTAACTTACTTTTCCATTCGAAGGACATATTTTTCCATCTTCTTCAGTGAGATATTCAAGGTATTCCTCTCTGTAAATTAGCGACGAACAGCCATATGTTGACGCTTATTTCCTAAGAATCGATCATGTAGTTGAAGTTTGCCAAGTTCGGTTTAAGTGAACAACATTTCTTCTCGAAGTTAGCGGCAATTCTAGCTACTATTTCTACCGAAAAACGTTTTCCATTTTAAGCTCAAAGTCAAGGACTTTCCATAAAGAATATGATCTTCCATTTTTGTCAAGCCAATTTTCTTCAACAAGAGTCAATATAATTGATTGAATTCCGAACGTTTTGATGCTTCTTTGGACCGTTCTTGGTACYAAAATAAAGCTTAGAAACGAGGCTATTAGATGCCGTAGAGATAAAGAGACAAAGATACGTAACTTTAAATGAAATTTCTTATGCAATTCACGTCTAAATATAACCAGTGTTACGCCGTTCAGTGGCCGTTTTGATATAATTCTTTCTATTTTGAAAAATCCGTGCAAGTCTTTTTTCTTGGTACTTCCATATTATAAAACKGAAGAAGTTTTGTTTAACTGTTGATAATAGCCATCTTGACTTCGCTTCCTAAGGTTGACATAYTGAAAACGTAACTCCGCTGACCAAAATCGCGGGAGCAAAATTATCGAGATTTCCGGCCATGGACTTCCAATATGCATATTGATAATAATACAATCCATTTATTTCAAGCTGTTTAACAATCAATTACAACTCAGCCAATGAGATCTGTGAATTAARCGATGCTGACGATCCAAAGGACCTTCAGCCGTCTCAAGGTTTCGTCTATGTTGATATGAAGGTTAGTCAGCATCGGAGAATAATGTATTAGCCTATTTAACTAATTAAAACTACGGCTCTCCAGCCTAACCTTAATACCTGGGAAATTACACTTTTATCAATGTTAAAGTCCCGTCATTTCCCGACCCTTAGAGACCAAACAATATAAGTGCTTTGAAGGTAATTTTCGACAACAAATCCAATTCGGAAATGGAGTCACTCCATTTCCGAATTGGAATTGTTGTCGAAAATTATGAAATGTTATACATGTGTGTATTGATATTATGTTTATTGTTCCAACAGAAGAAAAAGAAATCTACTAAAGAACATCGTACCAGCATTGCTCCAACAGCAACCAGGCCAGGTACAGTCGGTAGTACAAGCACTAGTCCAGCTATTARTACCTTTCCACCTACTTCACCTTCAACCACTCCAGGTAATTGAAAAATGCGCACGAAACACCAAAATGCTTTTTGAACCGAACTTCCGCTATTCTTTGCTGAAGGGAACGATGGTTTTCGTATTACTCGTACTCATCCAACATGTGACAAAATTAACGAAACTGGGTTTCGAAATTTGGGCAAAGGATTTTCTTTGAAAAGCTAGGTAAAAAAAGACAAGACAAGACGAGAGGAGRTAACTCGACTTGTTCCGATAGCAGCATTTTCTTGACGAACGAAATTCAAGCGCCATTCATGACCAACGCTTTACATTCAATGAAAACTTATGAACAAATCGCCGAACGCGATTTGTACGACTTTTCAGAAATGTTCTTCTTGTCCTGGTCTTAAAAGACGGTTTCATTTATTTTAATGTTGCTAATTACGAGGAAAGCTCCTGACCAAATTTGATATGTCTGGAGATATGCTGTCTAAGTTAAAACCTTGGATAATGTATGGTTTTGGATAAAGCTTAGGCTTACATCTATAGACTCTTACATGAAATACTCACCAAACCATTACACCTTATG